ACCGAATGGGCGGGTCGATCCAACAATTTCCTACTTTATCGATAGATCGATAGGGAAGAAGATACGAGAAGAACCGCGAACGGACGCTCGGCCGGATACGTAAGAGACACGCATTCGTTCGACAAGCATTCGTAAAACCCCTCCCCCCGGGGTCCATTCACACCGAAGGTCCGCTCATCGAAATCCCCCCAAGTGCCTCGAGTATTTTTCTGATACTATGATAAATATGGTAGGTACCTTTTTTTCGAGCAAGAAGCGTTTCTTTGAGTAGGAGCGAGGAGTAACTTATTGTCCCATGAACGAGTCCCAAGTGGCGAGTCTGCAGATCTTCGATCTTTTTTCTATCTTCCGTGTAGAGTTTCTCTATCCTCGGACCTCCCTTTTCTATCTTCCGTGGTGGGTGCGAATCGCGGTAGGAAAAAAAAAAAAAAAGAACACGCGGCAAAGAACCGTGCCGAAGACTTATCTTCTCTAACTTTTACGAAAAACCCTCTCGGTCCTCTCTCTTCCTCTTAATTTTCCTTCTTTTTTTTTTTTAATTCGCCTCGCTACCTTCGTTGTCGCGTATTGTTAATATTATTATTAATATTATTATAATATATTATCGAACACCCGTCCGTGTGTACGTGTAAAGGCTTGCTACGATTGTCACCGGCAAATGTACGTACGGCCAATTCTCTATACTATTTTTAGACGATCATACACACACACACACCGTTATCGCCTCGGTTGCTCTTTATCAAACACCACTCGTTATCGATCGCAGCCGTTTAGTCGGGTGAGAGACCAGTGTGCGCGGCTCTTAGCGCTGTTTGCCGGTTAAGCTTGTGTTAAGCGTGGTTAACGTGGAGAAAGAGAGCTTCCTTTCTTTTCTTTTTCCTTCTTTTTCTCTATCCTTTCTCTGTCCTCGCCACCGACTTTTTAAAGTTCTCCAGGTGGAGAAGGTGTTCGCAGAGTGAGAGAAGGTGGTCGCGTCTCGAGTCCTCGAGGTTGGAGATCGGTGCGACGGGGGGGAATTTGCGGTAGCGATTGGCGAAAGAGGAAGAAGAATTCTCACGTGTTGGTGAGAAGAAAGTGAAGAAACAGGAGTATCAAACGTTGGCAACAAACCACCAAACAAACGTTTCGTTCTTTTTCTTTCTTTCTCTTTTCTACGTATGTATATATTATATATATATATATATTATGTATATTGTCAACGATTAGGCTTCGTGGATTCGTTTAGGCGATGCTGTTGTTATTATTGTTGTCGTTGCTGCCGCTGTTATTGTTGTCAAGCCTTTTTTCCGCTTTCTTTCTTTCTCTTTAGAGGTAATATAGGCGTGGTAGTAATAATCCTTCGATCCTTCCTTCGATCCTCCTTTTATCCTCGCGCGATGCACTCGAACAGCTTTATAGAGGGCGCGCGCTTTAGCAACCAGAGCGGTGGTACAGTTGGGCAAAAAAGCTTGAAAGCCTTCCGAGAGAGAGAAGCTGAACGTCGACCACGGAGGATGTATATGCGTGTATACGTGTGTTTATGTGTGTGTGTGTCGTGCTGCTCTCTTAGGCGCGTTTACTCTTTCATTTATCGAATAATTATAGATGTACAATATATATATATATACATATATATATGTAGGCTGACTGTTGCTGCTGTTGCTGCTGCTGCTGCTCGACTTTTGTATTGTTACATATACACGCGTATATATATATATATATGCGTCTCAAAAAGCCGGTCGTGGTGTCCTTCAAGCCGGTTCTCAAGCTAACGCGTGGTGTCTCGTGGTACTCTACTACGAGGACGAGGATGGACGACTCCGGGGAGAGGTAGTAATAGTAGTAGTAGTAGTAATAGTAGTAGTAACAGTAGTAGTAATAGTAGTAGTAGTAGTTGTAGTAGTAGTAACTAGTAGTAACTAGTAGTAGCGGTAGGCCGTAAGAGAAGAAGGTTGATTCCGGAGGTGAGGTAGCGTGAGGCTCTCTCTCGAATCGGGAGGAGGGCGACCTGAACCGTAGCTCTTCGAGGGAGAAGAGGAAGAAGTGGCAGAGGAAAAAGGAGAAGCGGAAGGAGGGACGAGAGACGCGGCTTTACTCGTGAGGTAGGCACNGAGAAAGAGATATGGACGACAGATAAAGATGGAAGAGACTGTAGGTACGTGTACTAACGTGTACTAGTACAGTGACTCGTGAAAGTATATCGTGAATAACGGTTGTTATAGAAAATTTTTTTTTATGTAATCCAAAGTGGAATCAAAAGTACGTACATCCTTCCTTAGGATGTGTTTCATCTCTATGCGTTTAATCTTCTATTTCGTTCCAAATACTTTCACGGATCGACTGTATACTACCCTTCTTAATTAAAATATCTCATCCAGCATTTTATCATCGTACTTGAGAGACACGATGAAACAAATGATACACGATGATGACACGATAAAATGTACGGTTGCGAATTCATTGATAATACTCTCTTGCGAGTTAGAACTGTTGAGAATCATTTTTCAATTAGAATTAAAGTCTATTAATTATTGTTTTTAGTCACTTCGAATGAGACGCGTCCTTCCGACTCGCAAAAGCGTATTCCCGACGATTATACCCGTTTCGTATACACTTTGAATTATATTCGCGTCTAAATTTATTCCGGCGTTGAAAGAAAAAAAAATTCGACTTTTCGAAGAACAATTTCAAAATGCCAGATGAGAAATTTGAACTAAGGAAAGCAGTATGGGGGTAAAGGGTGGGTG